GGTCTTGTATTTAAGACCTCTCCAGACGATGGAGGGGTGCTTGAAGAAAGGGATGGGGAGAGGAATGCTCAAATATTTTAATGGTTTTTTCTCATATTACATATATTTGGTGAAATTTGATATTTTTTTCCAAAAACAGAGGGTCTGAGGAGGTCGGCCCGGCGTCTAAGACTAGGTTTCAGACTCTTAGATTCTACCCGGGTATATCACTTTATAGTAGAGTCCACAATAGCTTAAAGTTGACCCTCATCAGTTCTAACGATATAATAACCATCAAAAGCAATAAAAAAATAAAAAATGTAAAAAATCACAAGAAGATATACAAACAAAAAAGATTATTCAAAATAAAAATTTGGGCTGTTAAGTGGACATAAGGAAAACGAACTCAGATTATGAGATGGAAAAGAGATAATTTAATTTCCTGTTTAAGTATGTACTATGTATACTAAAACCCGGATTTTCAATTAGAAACCTGAATAATACATTCTTTCTTTTCAGAAACTCTACTAATAGATTTGCAAAAGAGAATTGCATGTTTGCAAACTTTTGTAACTTTGCGGAACCAATCATCGCGAGACACAGAAAACAGAAACAGGAATAATGGGTTAAAATTAAAAGTTTATTTTTGTCAACTCAAACTTTGAAAAGTGGCAAAGTTTTAGGAGAAAATCTAAGTGTTTAATAAATTAATTCTGAGCCGGCGTTTTAAAAAATTCAAGAAAATACGACTAATGTTCTTTCTGCTTTCTGATTTAATTTGCTTTAATTTTAAGTTCATAAACCGGGTTTAATATTGTATTTGGAGGATTTTCGTGGCTGTAATTGGTGCATTCCGGGTTTTGATGAGAACAAGCCTCAGCATTGAGCCTTATTCTCAACTAAAACCAACCAAGGTCGATTTTATTTACCCTAACTCTTCAAGTGGAGCCTACGATGTCGAAGCTGTCATTCACGTGACACAATTGCTGACATCAGAGTTGGGTCATAGATTTGGTTTCAAAGCTGTGTTTAAGGAACTACGACCCGAGCTGAATATTTTAAATTGTGAGCTCTGAGTCGACTTTTATAATATTGAAGAAAATACGACTCAGGTCTAAGATGTTGTTAGGCCTTATTTACGGCTTTAGCTTTCGGATTCAAGCTGCATCTTATTTTCCTCAAAGTTGCAGCTCAAGTTCAAAAAACAAGTTTAATATTCTAATTGGTGGATTTTCATGGCAGGTTTCGGCGCATTCCGGGTTTTTATGAAAACAAGACTCAACATTAAGCCTTATTCTCCACTAAAACCAACCAAGGTTGGTTTTATTTTCATTGGACCTAACTCCTTCAGTCGGGTTTAAGGAATTACAGCTCGAGCCGAAAATTTTAAATCGCGGGCTTTGATCAAATACATATTTTGCCAAAATATTAAATACCATGACTGTCGAAAATGCTACTTGACCAATGTAATATCTGTCAAAAAATTAAATATTTTACCTGGCCAAAATTAGGTTTAACTTTTTTACAAAGCTCACAGTCCTCTCTACAAAAAAAAGCTTTTTTCACGTTTCCGTGAAAGATTAATAATTTTGCTTGTTGTTTTCTAATAGGATGTTTCAATGAGATTTTTGTTTTAATATCAAGAAAAACTTTAAAAAATATGCGTGATTTAAACGTAAATAGAAAAAAATGTATCAATTGTAAAAAATGTAGATAGTATTTTATAAAAGAATAATCCTTTAATCTGTAGTTTAGTTAATAGATCTACTCCACACAGGAATATAAAGCATCAATTAATACATATATGTTATTTGGGGAATCTTTAAATCTGTCCAGTGGTCGGGGTCAAAATTGTCGCAGGGATTGGGGCAAAATTGTCGAAAGGGTCGGAAGCAAAAATTGTCTTATTTGTTGGGAGCAAAATTGTACCAGGGGTCAGGAGAAAAATTGGGGTTTGGAGCAAAATTGTCCTAGGGGTTAGAAGTAAAATTGTCCCAAGGGTCGAGAACAAAAATTGTCCTAGTAGTCGGGAGCAAAATTTTCCCAGAGGTCAGGGGCAAGAATGTCCCAGGGGTCAGGAGCAAAGTTGTCCCAGGGGTTGGGAGCAGAATTAACCTAGGGATCAGTAGCAAAATTGTCCAAGATGTCGGGGAAAAATGTCTCCAAATCCAAAATAGCCAATGGGGCGTGAACAAAATTTTTTTAAGTTGTCTAAGGATCAGGGGGCAGTATATATGGCCCGAGGGGATAAAGGGGGCAAGGGAATTGTCCAAGTGGTTGGAACAGAATTATACAAGGTGTTTCTCCAAACTCATTTGGTATATTTAAAGGGATGGTGATAATAAGCACCCAAGCTACTCTGGTTCATGGTGGACGCAGTCAACTCTAACCTAGGACTTCTCTCTGTATCTCGGGAGTCTGGTTCCATGAATACGTTCTGGAAAGATTGATCTCTTACATGGTTTAATACTAATTAAGATACAATACAAAAATCATACAACATCATAAAATATAAAGCATAATCTATGATAAATCCCAGGAGAAAATTATTTAACCCGTACTTTGACTCAAAATCCCTCTTTCCGAATCTGCTCCTCAAACCAATATTCAGTATTCATATACTGAAGATAAAAGATCGCATTTTACGCATAAAACAACACAAACTATATTCACTTGCACTTCTGTCAACCAAGAAATAAATCGCCAATAAAAGATATGCTAGACAGGATTTGAATAAACCGCAAAGTCAAGTCAGTGGTTTTACCCGGTTTCCTGCTACGCTCAAACCTAGCTAAATTCCGGGCCCTGAAATCTCTTTACTCAGTCAAGAACTTTCGGTCCCTGGAATGCACAAGGAGTTGGGGGGAAAATTGTTCAAGTGGTCGAGTGAAAAATTCTCCAAGTGGTGGGTGGCAAAATTGTCCTAGGGATCGGCAAAATTCTCCAGGGGGCAGGGGGAAAAATTATCCAAGGGTCCGGGGACAAATCATCCCCTCAGCTGCACTTATTATTAAAAAGGTTCATTATGTAAAGATAATCTAGAAGCAAGTGTGAAAAAATCCTCAGTATTGGAGTTCTATTGGAGACCTCCTCTCATTGGAGGACGTCTCTTTTTAACTTGTAGACCCCCAGATAATTGTTGGATATCCCAAGTTTTTCATTATTGACACCAGATTTTCATTGGAGACCCCCAGATTTTTATTGAAGATCCCAAGGTTTTCATTGGAGACCTCATATTTTTGTTAGAGACCCCAAACTTTTCATTGGAGACCCCAGATATTCATTGGAGGTCACCCAATTTTCATTGGAGACCCCCAAATTTTCATTGGAGACCCCAAAATGTTCTTTGGAGACCCCAAAATTTTCATTAGAGACCCCAGATTTTCGTCATAGACTCCCATGTTTTCATTGGAGACGGCAGATTATCGTTGGAGACCCCCCCTCCCAATTTTTTATTAGAGACTCCAAGATATTCATATTTCATTGGATACCCCAAGATTTTCATTGAAGATTTAATTTGGGTATCAAATGAAATTTTATGGGACCCCAATGAAAATTCTAGGGTCCTCAATGAAGACATGTGGGCCTCTAACAAAATCTGGGGGCTCCAATGAAAATTTTGGGGTCTCCCATAAATTATGGGGGTCTCCAATGAATTTCTTTGGGTTTCCAGTGAATTTTTTAGGAACTACAATCAAAATATGGGGGTCTCCAACGAAAATCTGGTGTATTCAGTGAACATCTGGGGGTCTCCAATGAAAATCTGGGGATCTCCAACAAAAATCCGGGGTCTCCAATAAATATTTTTGGGTCCCCAATAGAAATCTGGTGGTCTCCAATGAAAATTTGTGGTCTGTAATAAAAATAAGTGGGTCTCTAACGAAAATAAGGGGGTCTCCCACGAAAAACTAGGGATCCACTGAACATCTGGGGTCTCCAACGTAAATAAGGGGTCTTCAAAGAAAAGTTTTGGGTCTCCATTAAAAATATGGGGGTCTCCAATGAAAATTTGGGGTCTCTGATGAAAATGTGGGGTTCTCTGATGAAAATCTGAGGGTCTCCAACGAAAATCTGGGGGTCTCAAACATGACGTCCATGGTGGTCTCCAATAGTCTCCAATGCCGATGATTTTTTTTCTCAGACTCTCTTGAAGCGAGTCTTTGAACAGACCAATCTTTAAAGAAATAATTGAAAAACCTTTGAGAAGAAAACTAATTTGAAATATATAAAATGTTGAAGAAAAAGCATTCCTCCAGAACATGATAAATATCAGGTTTTCTCTCTTCACTGCCCTATCAAAGTCACCAGAGGAAAGAATCATCAAATTCTAAAAATATTTGAAAAATTAATATAGATACATTTATTTTTATTTTATTCATTTTATTTTATCTTATATTTTCTTATTTTTTTTATCTTATGATAAATATATATTTTTATGAAAAACAATTTGTACACTGTACAGCACGCAGTCGATCTATATAGCAATAAATAGGAAAAATAATCTGTGTTTTAAGTCAACCTACTCATATCTTTGTAATTAGTGGATTTACAGTCCTTAATATATATATCTATGATGACCAAACTGCTGCACTAAATTGGCTGACATTTTTTTGGCGCTACGACATCTGCTCTATTTCCATTTGCTCTATAGTCATTTGCTCTATGGTCATTTGCTCTATCAAGTCATTTGCTCTATACGTCATTTGCTCTATACGTCATTTGCTCTATATTCAATCTGCTCTATGACTAAACACGTCATTTGCTCTATAACATAAAAATACACTATAAAATAGCTTTTATTGGAATTCCTGAGCGTAACTTGACTATGAAATGCGGGAATTTTTTTTGGAAAATTCGCAAATTGCAGTTTTAATCAGTTCTTCAAAGTTCATCATGACAGAGTGACTGCTCAATAATAAGAGGGGTAAAAAAACCTAATATGTGGTGAAAACTATATTTATTCTACTCTAAACAAACAGGATACCTATCCATTCCAGCAGCTCGTCACATTAATGGCGTTACTTGTATTTGTGCCGGCGGATGAAGTCATTGATGTCTGGATGAATGTGATTGAACCCTTCATGGCTAAGAATCAAGATGAAATATCGGAAGAAATGAAATATGATTAGATATTTATATAAATATGTTTATAGAGCAAATGACGTGTTTACTCATAGAGCAAATGTTGAGTAGAGCAATTGGACCATCACCGTCATAAACATGTTTATAGAGCAAATGACGTGTTATATCATAGATCAATTGACGTATAGAGCAGATGACATATAGAGCAAACGTCGTGATCTATGAGCTATAGAGCAAATGGTTAATAGAGCAAATGGCCATAGAGCAAATGACCATAGAGCAAATGGAAATAGAGCAGATGTCGTAGCGCCATTTTTTTATGTCCCGGTGATAAAATAGGCTAAAAAGAAGTTTTTTATTGCAAGATGGAATTTTTTATTCAAAAGTATGGAAATTTTCTTTCAATTTTTTTTCATTTTTTTATTCCCACGGGTAATGCCGGGCACTTCAGCTAGTGTGTAATATCCCGGAAATATACATCAAATTTACTGTAAATCAATCATACATCTATGCTATTTTTTGTCGCAGAGGTATATATATATATATCTATATAATAAAGCTCTCCGCTCATAGGCTAAAAAACATTCGAATTTTTTTTTTCTAAATTTTTTTTTTCAAGTGTTTTTTAATTCCACGGGCAACCCAGGGCACTTTTATTCTATACAAACATAGTTACAAAGTTGAATAGGTTGACTTTATTAGAGAATTGAGTTTCATGCAGCAAAGATTGGTTTCCAAGCTAAGAACATATTTATATATATATATTGAAACTATTGTCACAAACTTAAGATTTTCAATCCTTATAGCTTTGCTGCCTTATGAACTTACCTTTGATATTTCAAACTTAGAGAATTGAATTTGAACAGAATTCATAGTTTGTAATATTAAAGGTTACACGACATTTGGTTGCAAGATTAGAAAATTGGTGACAAAAGTCATTTCCTTAGTATGAAAATATAATGCTAATTTTACTTCATGTGTTGGTAAGATAAAAATAATTAACATATATGAAAGAAATACGTTTAAATCTCTTCTTCTAAACTTTATGAGGTTGCAAAATGTGATTTCCAAGTCTCTCTTTTCACACTCAAAATTAAAAACTTCAGAACCAAAAGATTGAATTCAGGAAATTAATAAAATTTTTTAGGTTGATAGAAAAAAATTACATTTATTCTATTTAACGATAAAAAAACTAATATTACTCTCCTAAAAATTTCAATTTTTTAACTTTTACATCTTTTCATCCTGATTGTGAGACCCTCTGACATCTGGCAAAGTTCATAATTTGAAATATCTTGTACATAAAGTTTGATAATTATTTACATCTACTTTACAAGGAAGTTAAGAGAATTTTACTTTTCAAAGACGATGGAAGTCGTGGGAAAGTAAGTATTTTAATTTCCCGAAAAAGTAGTTGTACACAATTTTTATCGTCTTTTGGGATGAAAATGCGCGAATTTATATGAAAACTTCCCAGAACAGGTCGTTCTTTTACTGAATTGTCCCAAGGGACGTAAAGAAAATGAATGTCCCTCTGTTTGGGGAATCATGGGTTAGAAAATAAGAGTTTGAGGTGAGTAATTAGTTCCTTTCCAACCTCTTCATTGGCGGGTTGTTCCTGGGAGTCTCTTGGATCTATTGGGTTAAACTCCAGTTCTACAGTGGACTGTTCATGCTCCTCAGATACCTATTAAGGGGACTGTTTACGTGATTTCAATATCAGTTATATCATTGTCCAATTAACTCACAACGATCTAACTTTGTCTAATTAAAGGGACAAAGGGGAAAAATGAAAGGGGTATAGGCTGAAACCTGGGCATTTTATGAGCTGATCGAGGCCCATAAGAGTTCTATCTGATATTCCTGTCTTGAGAAATTGATATAAATATATAAACGTATAAATTGTCAAATTTATACGTAAATTTATATATATAAAATGTTGTTTAAATACTAAATTTTTGATAAGCCCTTGAAAAATTGATCTTCTACTTTTTGTCCAAACCTCTGGTTTTAAAAAAATTGGGCTATTAACAAGCATTCAACCGTTTGAGCGCGCACCAGTGCTATAAAGAAGGTCATATATGCATGAGCATAGCACTGGTCAGACTCTGCATAGCACTGGTCAGAATGTGTACGCTATCATCTGACCGGTACGACGATGAGTAAGTATATTTAAAACAATGCATAGCCTTTTTAGGGTGAACTAAGATTACTATTAATTTTATAAAAATAAACCTACCTGTACATAGAAAAACATAATTACACTAATGTGTAACAATAGGAAATATCTGAACTGTGAAAATTTCATTTTGTTTCAGAATCTTTATTAATCTTCAACAATCTGAAAACTCTGAAAAAGCATTGTTACTCTAAAGGTGAAAAAATGTAATTAAAAATTGTTCAGAAAGACTTATTAAAGAGTGTGGATAATATAATAAGTCAGGATGATATGATAACAAAGATTGTACTGAGGTGAGCACTCCTGTATTGTGGTGACATATCGAGATCGATGCTAAGTCTCAGTCTTTTTTAATCTGCTGATTAATTTAATCCTTATTCGATATCCCAACTGAAATGAAGAGATTAAGCATTGATAATCAAATTAAAATAGCCCAGAGTGAATATCGAGATCAAACGTTAGGTATACAAAAATAAAAAGTTCAGCCTTTTAGGTCTTCTGCAGCTATGCGACCAGGTTGTGATTGGGGGCTGCTCCATCAAAGTTGAATACGAGCTAGCAAGGATAGGGTCGGGCGGTACTTACCACGCATCACTCAGGGCCAGTCCAATGGGTTGGTCTTATTCAAAATCAAATTAGCCCTAGTTCACAGTAAGTAAAAAACATTCAAGAGATTTTTCTTTGAAAAGTTTGTCTCCTCAGGAGTTTCTTTCTTCTTCAGAAGTATGTCTTTCCAGAATTTTTCATGGCACCGCTAGGCTGTCCAGTTCACGGACTGCAGGTTTCATTGCACCGCTAGGCTGTCCAGTTCAAGGACTGCAGGTTTCATGGCACCTCTAGGCTTTCCAGTTCACGGACTGCAGGTTTCATTGCACCGCTAGGCTGTCCAGTTCAAGGACTGCAGGTTTCATTGCACCGCTAGGCTGTCCAGTTCAAGGACTGCAGGTTTCATTGCACCGCTAGGCTGTCCAGTTCAAGGACTGCAGGTTTCATTGCACCGCTAGGCTGTCCAGTTCAAGGACTGCAGGTTTCATTGCACCGCTAGGCTGTCCAGTTCAAGGACTGCAGGTTTCATTNAATAAAAAATAATTTTTAAAATATATATAAAATGTAAAATTTAAAAATGTTGAAAAATTATAGCCTAAGACACCCCCCGGCCACCCATGAGTGTCCACAACAAATTTCAGCCCAATCGGTCCAGCCGTTTTGCTGGCTATAGAAAACTAAATGAAATAAACATTAACGGCTAGCAAAATGAATAATTTCGATAAGAACTAACGTTAGCCGTTAATATAATTGTGATCGTTAAAAAACAATAACTTCAAGAAAGGACAGGGAAAACGTTAACTCAACACTACTAAAACGTTCAGTTCTATATATATTGGCTTAAAGAACAAACGAATACTTATTTTAATAAACTGTTTTAAAAAACACCAAGTCTGTACATTATGAAAGCAAAACTTTGAATGTGAAGGTGTGGGGTGGATAATGAAAACAGTAAATAAATCCTCAGAAATTATTAAATATTTAAATATTTAGAAGAAATGTGAAAACATGTCAAATAATTTATTTCTTGTTTTGAATATTTAATATTAATATTTTCAGTTAATAAAGAAAAATATTATTGTAGTCTTAGAAATATAGTTAAAGCAAAAATATATTTAAAGTATATTTTTAGTATGTATGAAATAAAATTTGAAACTGTCAAGTTTTGATCTGTCGTTCAGAATATATCAGTATTTTAAGTGGAAGAGATTTAAAGAATATTCTTGATCATTTTCCCTTTAAAGGTCGACCAACTCAACTTAGTATCTCAATATCAAGCTATTCCCGCGATTTTCCTAAGTTTCTCAAGCAAAATTTATGGCAAATTAGTCCAAACGTTCAAGAGTTATGATCAGACATCCAAACAAACATACAAAGAAAGGTTACAAACAAAGATTTAGCTATTTTTCCCCATACAAGTCGACAAACTCAATTTAGAAAGTCAAAATACAAGGTAAGAAAATTCCCGTGGTTCTTCTGGGTTCCCAAATCAAAGTTTGAGGAAAATCAGTCCAAGGGTTCCTAAGTAATGATCGAATAAACCAACAGAATAACTACTTAATACATTTAGATTACACATATAGGACCAAAATATTTCAATTGCATCTTTGTAGAACATTAAATCACATTTAAGACCTTTTCCAAGATATGTCGTCTTTACCAGCCAAGTCCAAACCAAACACTTTCGTCTGACAAAGGAAAATCAAAACAGTGAAAAGTTTTACCATGTGAAAGAAGGAATCCACAAATAACTTTGCAATCCACAGTAAATTCCACTAAAGCAATTGGGTATATATTTTCAGAAGTATTATAAATGTTTCACTACACCACCAAACCTTCAAATCCCTAACCACTTGAAATCACTCTGACACAAAATAATAGTAAGCTTTTTTATCAAACATTTAACTACATTAGAATATCATCATCCATGTTTAATATAAAAAAAGTAAACTATTTTATCTAACATTTTAACTATATAAAATCATTGCTATTCATGTTTAACACCTATAAATTTATTATAGGTTTAAAATATATCTACTAAATGATTATTGTAGACTACTGTGTCAGAGTTTAGGAGAATAACCGATGAACCAACCTAACCAATGACCCAACCTGACCAAAAAACCAACCTAACCTACTAACTAATAAGCCCATGAACCAATTAGCCAATTAACCAACCAGACTATTAGTCTATTAACCACCGACCCCTGTCTATTGTTTTACAATCTTGTTTTGCATATGTTTATCATAGCTATTTTTGCGACTAAAAAAAAATAAAATTGATCGATCATGTTTGATAACATAAAAGATTTTATAATGCATTTTTATTGACAATTATGTAATTGAAATATGAAATAAAATATATTCCAGACGTAAACGCTAAAAGAGGTAAAAAAGATCCCCATGGGTATAAATATGCTAACAAGTAACGGCTGTCTATGATAAATACACAGTAATTAGAAACATAAATTTTCAATTCGCCACAAGTTTTTGATAAATTTCACTATAAAATTGACGGTAATTTTGACACAGCATAAATTCTTTTTTTTACGAAAATATTCAAATGGGATTTCAATTGATAGGAAGAATAAAATATTAAAAAATTTTAAAAAGATTTATTTAGAATTTGTTCATTTATTTGCTGTATGTTAAAAATATTCATTTTCTTCATATTAACAGTAAATAAAATATTTTTGTTTATTTATATATTGTTTTCTTCTTAATGCTAGCAATAAAGTATTTGTGAATCATTCATATATTAGAAATATTATTTAGAAGCACTTCAACCCCCCCCCCCCTCTATTTTTATCAGTAATAATTTTAGCTTTTTGTTGTTAAACTATCTTGCTTACATTAAAGTGCAATTGTGTCTGTAGAGTCTGTATCGATATATTTTCATTCATATTTTTTTTTCTTATTCAAAATTCATAAAAAAGCGCAATAGAGACTTTATTGATTCAATAAAAAAGCGGTATGAAATAATGGAAATTTAAAGCTTTTAAGCAGATGTGAGTAAATCTACAGAGTATACGAGAAAAATGTATTTACAAGTAATAGATGAACAAATGAAATGATACAAATGAATCATGGAGAGCCAGAGCTCTCTGATGGACTCTCCACTCTTCATTCGCCTCGTATGACGAGTTAATCATCCGTATTCAGACTCCTCGTAAATACTGCCAATAGGCTTTACTTGGGCAAATCCTACTCCTGCCACCACGTGGAGAGAGTATTGGCCCTAATGAAAACAATAGAGAGATTACAAAGGAGCATAGGACTGATCTGGACTCTAGTCTCTCTGGAGGGATTTGAGAACTGGATCTGGGACTCTCTTTTCATTCGGCACTGGACTCTGGCCCCCTTTAGAATCAGCTTGTTCTGCTGGACCTTCATGACTCTGGGCTTTTAAACTCTGATGGACTCTGACCCTCTGGACTCTCAGACTCCAAACACTCTGGCCCCACATCCTTACCCTCCTGAGCCCTCCTTTCCATAGCAGAATGGGGTTTGATTTAACACAACCCTATAAGTGATGGTTGGCTCCCGTTA